TTTTAACAAAAATGGCGCCATTCCCGGATGCTCATTCTATAAACGATGGGGAAGCTACAGTCTCTCGGAGCCGCTTATTTTCATGGATAAGTTCTGCAATAAGCGTATCTCTCGTCTCGTCGGTCCCACCATGCTAGCAACTCTTTCTTAGGAGCGGGGACGGATTGGATATCAGCTCCTCCCATCGTATGTAGAATGCAATCAACGGGTGGCCTAACATTAACAAATCAAATAAATAAGTAGGCTGAATAATAAAATGAGAAGGGACAGAATATATACCTTTCCTTGAACCATGGCAATCACAACGACATTAACATGGGGAGTGAGGTTCGATTTCTATCTAGACTGGCTCAGCAACATGAAGTTAAAAGGGTGCCTGATCGTCGCAGTCTCGCGTTGGTGTCAAGTCCTTTTAACCTCGGCCAAATCGAAAGGAATAACTTATAATCACGCGAATAGCGGCTAAAGATACTTCTTTACGATTTTTAGAAATAAATTTTGGGGAAAAGAAAGGCGACCTCTACATCGCGGGCTCGCGTTCGAGGTCGTATCTTTCTTAACACCATCCTAACATGCCCTATCGCGGCCCAGGTCCGGCAGGGTGGTTGTGTGTGCAACGGTGTAGTGCTAAATCATTAAAGCATGCACAACAAATTATAAACAATCAATTCGAACCTGCAAGAACAAATAACACCTTAATGTCAGTATCGTACCTGGAGTCCTTGCTGCCAAACAAAAATCATTTTTGAACAGGATAAAATTTTTGGCCTAAGTCCACTTTAAAAAATGCAAGTCCCCAGTGGAGTCGCCAGTCTGTCGCGACCGAACTCCCGAGCCCTTTTTTATCGAACATGCAAAAAAGGGGGGCTCGCCTGGTACGTGCTAAGTCTAGGTTCGGGACTTAACTCGGGCTCTCCCAAGCCCATACCATATCGCGACTTAGGGTTTAAGTTTCTTAACATGCAGGTGATTTATATCAATGAGTCGCCACTAATCGATTTTGGGTGGACTGATTAGAAACCCAAATAGGGTGATGGGAGAATCACCCTATTCCTGCGAACCAGAGATTAACTGAGTTCGGGGACTTGGTTACACTAGTTGGATAACTAATGCCATTTCGGTACCATTTTACTTTGTTCATTTCATGAAAACATTTGTCAAGCAGTTTGGATTGATTTTAGGACCTTTCTCCTAACATGTGAGGTGATCAAGCGAGTGCATAATCAGAAACGATTAGCAGTCAGGAACATAACAATTCAAGCAACCTAAGGTTCTAACTTTAACTAAGTCAGATGACATTCAAAACACAACAGCTCATGCAATTGTATTAAAAACATGCATAACAATACAACGGTAATAAAAACTATCATGCAAAATACTACCGCGCAATCCTAGGCTTATCTAATTTAAACATGGTAAATTATGCATAATAATACTACAATAAATTAAACATTTAGAATATATCACACAATAATTTTTTTAAAAAAAAAGATATTTTCTTTTTTATTTAAAAAAAATTTAAATTTTTTTTTTCGAGAAAAAAAAATAATACAGAAAAAGAAGAAAAGAAAGAAAAATTTTAAATTTTTTTAATTTTTTTTTAAAAATAATAAAAATAATAATAATATAATATTAAAACCGGGTCGGGTTCGGATCCGATCCAAGTCTAATCCGACCCGGGCGTTGACTCGGGTCGATCGGTCAATCCGGTCGGGTCGGAACCGACCACCGGTCAACGGATCCGACCCGGCGTTGGACCGGGTCGGATCTATTAATCCGGGTCGGTCGGACCGACCCGGGCGTTGACCCGGGTCGGATCTGTTGATTCGGGTCGAATCCGACCCGAACATACAGACCCGCGGGGAGGGGGGCGTCGGAGAGGCCAAAATTGGCCGTCCGCCGGCTGACCCAGGCCAGCGCCGCCCCCAAATCGCCCGACTAGGACCGCCTGTGGGCTGTGCCACTCACCTGAGCCGCCGTCGGACCACCGTTCGCCGGCCGGCGATGAAACAAAAACCAGCCTGGTTGAGGCATTTCGTCGAACGCCTGGCGGGTGCGTGGAAAAACGAGGGATTCCGACCTCCTCCGGCGATCCGGTCGACTCCCGCGGCTTGGGTTCACCTCCGACGGCGACTACGGATCGGGACCGACGACGGTATGGGCCGAGATTCGCGCGAAACGGCCGGCGCGAGTCCCGGCCTAACCACGCTAAAAAGCAGGGGAAAACAGAGGGGCTTCTCGACCGGGGGCTCACCGGTGACGGCGCGTCGGGGCGGCTTTCTGGCTATTCCGTGGGCGACGGCGATGCTGCTGGTTGTCCTTCCTGCTCCGGCGTGGCCTCTGTTTGCTCCCTCTCTCTCTCTCTATTCTCTCTCTTGTCTCTCAGTCTCTCTCTCCTCTGTTTCTCAATGAAAATGGCCGGCCGGGACTCTCTCTCTCTCTTTCTGTGTCGACGCCGTCGGCTCGGCGACGGGGATGGATGGCTGAGGCGCGGTGGCCGCCGGAAGAGTTCTCCGTCTCTCTGTCTCGCTCCGTCTCCCTCTTTCTCTCGGCTCACGCTCTCTCTCCCTCTGCTCTGTTTCTCTCTCTATTTGGCCGACCGGCCTCTCTCTCTCTCTCTGGCTATTTATAGCCGGCGACGACGAGCACTCTCTGCCTCTCTGCGTCGGCGTGACGACGGCCTGCACCGGCCTACGCCACGCCACGACTTTCGTGGCCATTTGCAGGCCGGTGCAGAGCAGGGGCGGAGCAGGTCTGAGACGGGGCAGAGAGGAATAACGAGCTGAGAGGGAGGAGGAGATAAGGGGAAGCCGGGACAACGGGGAGGACGGGACTGGCAATTAATGCCAGTCCCGTCGGCGTGCTCACGCGGCCCTGCTCTGGCCGGATAGCGACGCCGAGGAACGGCGCCGCCGTGCGTCGGCGTGACGTCTCGAGCAGGGGAGAACCTGGGCGAGAGAGCGACCGGCTAAGGGGAAGAAGAAAGGAAGGGGCTGGGCCGGGCCAAGCCCAGTCCGCGCGGGGAGAGAAAAAAAGAAAAGGAAGTGGGCTGGGCCTGCGTGGGGGAGAAAGAGAAAGAAAAGAAAAGGAAAGGGAGCGGGCCAAGGGCCCGCGCGGGGGGGTGGGGGGAAAGAGAAACGGGCCGGGTCGGCCCGGTCCTGACCCGGCCCGACTCGATTTTTTTTTTTTAAATAAATTTTATGCTTCTCTAATAGACCATATTAATGCAAATGTGCCTAAATTCTATATGCAATGCATTTAAATAGAAATATTTTTTGTTTTAGGAATTAAAGAAAATTAACTCCTAAATTTTGTGCAATTAATTTTGGGCAAATTAAAAATAGGTGTCAACAATCGTCGATCAAATTCCGGCATGATATTTTTACATTCTCAAGCTTTGTCGTCGATTAAATTCTAGCGGGTTTGTTTACGTCTGGTTCGTTTGTAAAAATTATGCTTTCCGAACCTTGTCTTGATTAAATTCCAACACGATTCGAGTTTGTGTAGTTCTATTTGGAATAAAGTTGTTGATTCTTCCATTTGTCTAGATATTTTATGTCTGGAATCACTACAGGACCCAATCTCCTTTAATTAACAGCCGAAGAACACTTTCAGTGAAATATATTTCGTCTCTAGAACAATTCCGACGAAACACACCAATATCACAATTTTCTAGATTGTCAACAATTGCATCTTCAACAAATGCTCGAATTTATCCCTGCGCCAGTTCTCCAACACTCACAGCAAAATCAACACCGTCAACGATCTCAATATTTCTACCGGCCCCTTTGATTGGAACCTCCAAATTAAATGCCAAGCCGCTACATTTCTCATCTACAGTTTCAGTCCAGTTCTTTCCTTCAACATCACAGGTTACATTCTCATTCCCAACTTCAGCATCTGTCGCCACGGCTTCAAATGTTGCACAGTTACCATTAACCTCAGACTCGAATTAACATTTTCTTCCGGAGAATCAATATGCAAGCTTGACCTATCACCATCCTCACCGGAACTAAACAGATGATGCTCTGAAGTAGATTCTCCCAGGGTATCAACTCAAGGGCGTCGAGCAAGCTTTTTGGTCTTCCATCAAAAGAAGAACTTTCCAAACATTTTTTTTTTATCTTCTTTATTTTTCCCCTTTCCTCAATAGAACGAAACTCATTAAAGAAAAGGCCGGAGTCCCTATTCCGGGAAATAAATGGGTGAGCAAGAAAAGAAGCAAACACAGGTGAATCTTCCCCTGAATGATACCATTTCAGTTTCAACCTTTGACATCTAAGATTGTTACTCAGTTACGTTATTAATGATTGAGCCATAAGGTTAAATGGACATATTCACGAGGAACGCAGCCAAGTCCAAGTCAAATAGAAATCCTTTCTACCTATTTATAAAACGGGGACTTGGGCTTAGGCTTCTTCCATTTCTCTGACCTCTTTTCTTTTTTCAATTCAATCGATTGAAACTAGGCTAAAATTTGACCAATGCCCACCAAACAGAAAGATATGACAAAAAATAAAAATAAAATGCTGGAAGATAAAAGACCTTTTGGCATGAATTGAACCTCCAAGAAGCAGCTTAAGCTTCCTTTCAAAGGAGGAAAACTTCGAGTTGCACTTTTGCATCTATAAAGGCAAAGCAAGGACCTTTCATAATAATATAAAAAGAAGAAGACGATTTTACAAAACAAAGAGAACCATTCCACCCTCAACCATATTGCTAGGGTCGACTACCGATTATAAACACGCTCACAGGGCTCATCTACCTCTATAACTAAGCTACTTGCCCATAGAGGAAATTTGAATGGACAAACCAAGGATCACACTTAATGAAGATGCATAATTCAATAAAAGAAAGGTGGCTAAAGATAAAAGGTTTTCCCAAAAATTTCTGGCTACAACACTATTCCTCCATTTTTATCAAATCTAGCCAGAAAAGTTTCAGGATCTCGTTGTGTTGTGACAGGTCATTGGGTGGAAATGTAATTATATCGTACATAATTGCACAGATAAAAAATTATTCCCATAACATGTTAACTAAAGAAGAGTTGTGATACTCCACTATAAACAAACAGTCATGTAACATAGGGACCAAGAGAAGCCGCAGTTTAATGCTATAATCAAGCGCAAACATTCAATTCAAACAAATTCCAAAAGAGTCGTTTTCCTATCTAAGAGTCAGCAACTATGTCAGTGTTTGATCCGGATGGGCCTCCTCCTCCACATCTTGTGTATCATTAGCTCATGCCACTGTATGCTGTAAACTCATCTAAATGAATTTGTATATTATTTATACGCCTCCCGTCCCACCTTATTCAAGTCCATTCATGGTCCCATAATCAGCCGCTTCACGCCCCAAATTGCTGTAGAACATAATAAATTATTTACTATCAACTCATCAATGTTATATTCCGATGCAACCCAAGCTCACTATGTCCATGACTTGACATTAAGACATAGCAGTGCTTTCGAATTACTGTCTATCAAAGGGATCATAATCCACACCTTAGCTCGGAATCTTTTAATGATTTGAGTCAGCAACTTATCGCCTACAATTTGTCTGACTTTTTGTACCAGCACATGCCTCGAAATCTTTCCCCCCTGGAAAATGTTGATCATGTTTTAACATAATTCAACATTGAAGGTAAGAAACAAAAAAAAGCTTGAAAGACAAGAACTAATTGATGACACTGTTGATATGGCACTTACTTTGTGGGCCTTATAATAGTTGGACATCAAGCTGACGTCGGATGGAGGGAAGATTTTCGAGATTTCCGAAATAAAATATCGAAATGGGATCCACGGGGCATTAGGATCCCATGACTTCTCGGGAGTTCTCAGTGACCCTATTAATACATCAAACCAGTTGATAGAACAGACAAAGTCATACACACAAACATGGTCAATGCGAAAGTAGGAACAAGAAAGAAAATTTGATTACCTCTTAAGCGGAAAGGGGCTCTAAAGCTGACAACGTACTTCGGCAACACGTGAGTGTTCAAGTGGGTGCTCCAAATAATGTATCTCCTTGGAGATGATAAGTTGTCGACGCCCGAGTCATATTGTTCGGAACTGGGATGAGATTGTTTCGAGCCACGACGGACAAGCTCAGATTTCCCCAGTATGACAAGGCAAATTAACATATGTTGTAGGCCATCTTTATCTATAGGAGTGGTCTTAATGCTGCCAAAGCAGTGCAAAGAAACTATCTAAGATCAATATTATCACATGCACAAATATTAAAGTAAGTCAAGAAACAACATGTTTGTGAAACGTTGGTGATCTACTAGATTTAACCGACTATAGCTTAAAAGGGAAATACAATAACGCGCTAAATCAACATGTCTTAGTAATAGTACCACTTTCCACATAGTATCTCTTGATTATTAAGCAATTAATATTGGCGGATTTAGCGCTACCAAGGCATTACCAAGAAACCATCTAACGACAATTTCATCATATCCACAACATTCTAACATGAGTTCGAAAACAACATGATTGCGAAATATAGGCGTTCTATTATATATAGTCGATCATATCTTACGAGGGAAATATAGTAACTGTTGGGGAAATATGCTCCTCCTAATTTGTAGAAAAAAAGAAACTTCAACTTCAAATGAGATGAACAATGAAGTCAGACTTTGAGGCGTGATATCACTTTTTTTAAGGAATTATTTGCTCCACAACGTTGCTAATGGTTACCGGCAAAAATCTTTCAGGATACAATAAAGTCTCAATGAGAATACCAGATAGCAATTCTGGTACATCTCTTAGAAGAAATGGGAAATTGTTGTTCTTAATGAACAAAAACGTTGAAATATTTATACGTTGAACAAACACAACCTTTTGAATGTGAAGAAGTTATGTACGAACAGACACGACTTTCCAAAGGTTAAGAAGTTATGTCCGAATAGACACACCCTTCCAAAGGTTGTAAAGCGCCTAATAACTGTTAGGCAAAAATTAATAAATTCGAAATTAAATTATTAAAAAATAACCGCACTTTATTGCGAACAAATCATCTTGTTTCAATATGACAAAACAGTTATTTTATAATAATAAATTAGCAATTTAATAAATAAATAAAAATGATCGTTGATTAGTACCAAATCTCGTCCACGTGCACATTCACATCCTTTCGATGTGGGACAAGGCACCTCGTTGTTTGTTTTACAAACAAACTACCAACAGTAACGTGCTAAATTAACGTATCTTCGTTATTGTATCACTTTCCAAACAGTATCTTAAAAGGGAATTTCAGTACCTTTCGAGTGGATGATTAAGAGGAGCAAAATAAATTCCACAGCCATACAAGCCATTGTTCTCAGGCTTCCCACTGTAGCCAAAGCCATAGCACAAGATCTTGGACAACTCTTCCTTCGAAGTCGCATACCATGCGCGCGTCACGTTGGCAGTGTCGCCGCCACCTTTCTCCTGTACTGCCTGTGAGCAAAGTTGAAAAGCTTGGGCCTGTGCTTTCGCCAAGACACTGGAGTAGCAATTCTGGTGGATTGCCACCACGGTAACTTGTGCCCCCAGCGCAGCTAGCCGTGAGACGAATTTCTCCTTGATATAGCGGTGGGTCTTGTTTCCCTCGCTGAGTTCCATCAACCCGCTGCCGATGAACGGCGACAGAGCAGTACCGGATTGATCACTGGAGAGAACGCTCTTGCAATCGGAGACGGACGAATCCGGATCCTGATCGTCCTTCAGATCGTTCAGATCTGGACAGTTGACATCGATTGCCAGATGGTTGAATTGGTGTGCAACCTCATCAGGAGTGACGGTGTGGACAGTCGGTGACGGACATTGATGGATGTTGTCCGACATTTTGGGTTGAACCTGGAACGTTCCAAAAATGTGCTTCAAAAAAATAACGAGAGGTTGGCACGGATTGAAGAAAGAAAAATGCGCTTCACAAAAATTTTACAGCTGCTAAAAGAAAAACGATTGCAAAATTGGTACGGATTGAAGAAAGAAAAATCGAATTGCGGAACAAATGAAGATCAAATGCTTTTAATTCATGAAGTGACAATTGAAAAAAGAGCCGCGCAAATCACCAAACGAAAACACTAACAAGAGATTCTCCAGGTTTAGTCGAAAGAAGCAAACAAGATATTAAAAACAAAGATAGCCGACGGACAAGAAATGAGAAGGTCGACACTCTGATTCTCAGCAACAAAAGCATACATCTCTGGATGCTTACAGAGGTTTTCAGGAAAGTGAATTTCGTTGGCTTCAAGAAACACCGCGATCAAAGCAAAGACGAAGGACTCTTACTCGATTTCTCCAGATACAGAATTAGTGAAAGACACGAACAAGGAACGAGTGAAGCAGAGGTTGGTCTGCTGTGTGCGGGGGATCGATGGATCGAGTGTGTGTGGATGGCTGAGATTGAATGAGAATAGGGTTTGTGCTTGAAGAAGAGGAAGAGGGGGATTTGAGTTGTAAGACAAGGATTTTATAGAAGAAAACCAGCAAAGTTGCCCTCATGCCTTTCACGCACGTATTGTGTGACGGTCTTCTACCTTTCAAACCTTCCTTTGGCGGTGTCATTGTGAAGTGCATGCAGTTCTTATTGAGCTGTTCGTTTTCGCTTCGCATTTTGTCTGGAAATAAAAATAAAAATAAAACATCACAAAAAATCTATTATTGTGCCTTACATCTTAAGTAAATCAATTGGGATTTTGTCAACGAATGTTGAGAAACACTTGGTGAACATTAAAATATAGAAATTTGTCATTTTCAAAATAGCATAATCAGAACATTGAAAATGGAATAATTCTTTATTAGGTATGATTAACGGAACACACTGAAAGCTTCAGTTGATAAGATTGATTAATCATCGGTATATAATTTATTGGTGATACGTGAAAGGTATAATATTTATGCACGGAAGTGCTTCGATCACTCTTTCACATAATTAATTGAGACCGTACGCGGAATTAATTCAACCTCTGAAGTCCCGATATTCCATCACAAATAGAAACTCTATAGTTAGGTGCCAAAGCAACAATGAGGAAATATTATTTCGCGCTATAAATACTAAAATTCAAAAATCTACATATTAAGTACGCCTTCAGCCCGAGAACCCAATGATTGCTCTTTCCCAGAATTAAATGAGCTCGTTCGCGGAACTAATTGAACCTCCGGAGTGATGACGAGAAACAAAGCAAGAACATATTGCTTCATGTTATGGATAATTAGTGCACTAAAATTGAAAAATTTACAAATTAAGTACACTGTAATATAAGATTATCGAAAAGAATAAAATGGAAAAGCACAAACATAGAGGGGGTACCCAGCACTGGAATGAGATGCTTTGAACCACGTGAGAAGGCAAGAGCTCCCTTGGAACTATCCTTGACCATAACGTCCAAAACGGGCAACCACCCTGTCTCTCTCACCCACCGTTTTTGTAATATTTGCCTCTTCTTTTGACCAGGTCAAAAGACTTAGGCCGAAGGAGAAAAAAAAGAAAAGAAAAGAAAAGAAAAGTCAAAAAGTGAAGATAAAAGGAAGAAGCAGCGGCTGGTCGGGAAAACAGAAGAGAAAAACAGAGGAGAAGAAAAGGAAAAAGGAGAGGAGAAAGGGAAGAAGAGAAAGGGAGGGTTTGTACGCGCGGGTCCTCGCCGACCGTTCCGACTAAGTAACGCAACGACTAGTAAGTACTTCGCAATCCTCGTTAGTCCTATCGGAATAATTTTTCGATTAGGGCTCGGAAATAAGAGTTATGTGGATTTGAGCTGCGTAGTCCAATTTTTGGGTTGTCAAGTCTTAAATATCCATGAAAATGAAAGATTATGGTGTTGTGGGGCTGTGCGTTTTGACGGATATCGATTCGGAGTTACGGTTTGTCCGGAATCAAATTTTGAAGTTGAGAGCATAATCTGGAATTTCGTGAACAGTACTTTCCAGGGCTTTGATTGTTGTTTTTGGGCTGTTGTTTGGGTTGGCTGTGTTGGGACATCCATAGTATGCTGGATGGGTTTCGTTTTGACTATAATAGCGCGCAAAACGGAGTCCGGTGGAGGAAGTTATGGCGCGTGGAAATTTGGCGCGCGAGTTGTTCGTTGTGGTTGGCATTAGATTTTTTCCATTGAGCAAGCCATCGTAGGCTCGTGGGTGTCGGATTATTGGCTAGTTAGCCTTAGCTTATTCGAGTCGCGCGTTAGGGGTAAGTATTACTCGGTTTTGATTCGTTTTTTCCGTATGTTTGATAGGATTTTGGAACCGTCGGCTCAAGTATCACATATGGGTTAGTTGTGGATTACCAGGTGAGGGACATTATATCTTCTATGAATTTACAAATTCATATTTTGATAATGAGATATAATTTTTAATACAGTGGAGCATGTTTTCTGCATAAATTGGATCGATCATTTACTACATTTTGTCGATTGTGAAATGAGTTGAAAAGTCTGATGACGTTATTGAAATGAAGCTTTTGTGAATGCTTATATTAAAGGTTTTGTGAAGAGGATTAGCCGAGGGCTATTCTTGTTGTGAAATGTTTTGTGAAATGGATTTATTGGTGTTGATTATGGATTTCTAGATTGAGTTATAAGTTGCTGCTGCTCGTATTACTATGTTAAGAACCCGTTGAGGGGGGAGTATGCATACTGTCAGGATATCCTTCTGGGCCGAACCGCCGGCTTATAATAGGTGGTAGACCTTGCCAAGAGGGTTAAACTTGGTCGCCTTTGTCACGGCGTTAAACTTGACCATAGTTTGATTACGAGCATGAGATTGGTTGATGGATGAACCATCAACGTGTTATGTGATGAGATTAGTCAATGGATAGACCATTGATGATTGGCTATTGTTGTTAAGTGAGCTTTTATTGAGAAATCTGATACGAATGACTTTTATTGAAAAGTTATTATACCTTTGAGATATTTTTGGTTATATTGTACATTGAGTTTGAGTTATGAGCTGTGATATTTTTATGCTATTGCACAGTAATTGTTCGACCCACTTAGAAGAAATATGTTACTCACTGAGCCGTGGTAGCTCACCCCTTATCTTACATACCTTTCAGGTTCTTCTGCTGGCCGCAAGTAGGGCGTGAGCGGCCGTAAGTCGGAGGATTTCTTTTTGATTGTGGGATTTTGGGTACGTTGTACATATTGACGTTGAGCTATTGGAATAGTTTTTTTGTTGGATTTGTATATATCCTTTAGATGGTTTTAGAAAGCTCTGATGTTTTCGAGTCTTGTTTAAGTTTAGGCTGCGTCCTTTGGGTGAAAGGACGGTCGTGTTACGATCCCGTTTTGGTTATATTCGGGGTGTGACAGTTTTGCTTGTAAATTGATAAAATCATTAATTACATACCAAATGGAGAGGATAAGATAGAGATTTTCACAATATCCTTTTTGTCTTTTTTTCATTTATTGGTAAATTTTTTAATTATAGACCAAATAGAGAGGATGGGTCTAAGATTTTTATAATACCTTCTTTTGGCTCTTTTCTTATTTATTTAGTAAAACCATTAACTACAGGCCAAATGGAGAGGATATGACCTAGATTTTCATAACACTTTTTTTTGACATTTTTCCTATTAATTTGGTAAAATCATTAATTACAAGCCAAATGGAGAGGATAGGGAAGAGATTTTCACAATAACCTTTTTTTTTATAGCATTTTTCTTATTTATTTGGTAAAATGATTAACTACATACCAAATGGAGAGGATAGGGCAGATAATACCTATTTTGGCTTTATTTATTTGGTAAAATTGATAATCAAAAGACCAAATGGAGAGGATAGGGTAGAGATTTTTCATAGCATATTTTTTTTGGCATTTTCTTTATTTTCATACTTAATTTGTTTGAGGAGTATTGACATTTGAGGTAATGGTGGGTGCTCGGTGAAAGCTATTCGCCAAGCTATTCACACAAACATAGCACAAAAACTAATGGCCAATTTTCTTTGATCAAAACCTTAAAGCATATACAATGTGTTATATGAATAAATGAGATTCCAAAAGTCATTACCTGATTATTATTTCCGACAAGTGAAGTTTTCAAAACAAGTGCAAAGTTAGAGAAGTCAAATATCAAACATTTGGGTGAGAGAGAAGAGAGACCCCAAAGAAAGTGAAAGTTGAGGAAATCCTTGTTTGGCTTTATGAACGGGACTAATTTAAATAAACAGATTTGGCTTAGTGGTAAATTTGGTATGAAGTTTGATAAGTGTAACAGGTCGTTCCTCCTCCTAAAGATGTTTGTGAATTTTTCTTCTAATTATACAAAATGTGATTACGAGTAAATCCACTCTCAATCATGCATATGTGTAGGTAAAAAAGTTTTCTTTTCATTCATCATTGAAAAAATTAATTACTTGAGAATGTACGAAGTGAAATTCTTGAATTTCAAAATAATAATTTTACATTCCATGAATGCCTTTAATAAAATTTCCTAACTACACTTAGAAGGTTAGTGACAATCATCGTCCTTTTCTTTTATAATGAAATGAATGTATGAGCCATAGAGTGGTTCACGTGTTTCTATTTTTACGCAAAGACCTATTTTGTACTTCGGTCTTACTTTAACGGTATGTTTTTTTTTTTTTTTGTAACCGAGAATCCGCCACTATTCCCCGGGGACAAGTCCGCACGGGTAATCGGGGCGCCTATACCTCGGGGGAGATTAGCCCAGCAACCCACCGCCAGGGTCCCCCACTTAAATTACGGAACCGAGTGGGGATTCGAACCCAGAACCTCTGGGGAGGGAAGGAAAGCGCCCACCAACTCGGCCATACGCAGGTGGGTACTTTAACAGTATGTTGCGCTCATCAACATCTGAGAAAATCAATAATTACACTAATGGGCATTTAAATCATATTTCTTTTCTCTTTGAGATGCACATTAAACTAAAAAGAAGAAAAAAGATATTTCTATAATTAGACCAAAAAAAAAACGAGAAAAGGAAAACAAGACATTTTCCAAGATATTTTTTATTGGAAAAAATAATTAAGTAAGAAAACCAATTTGCTAGTTTAGTTTCTGTATAGACAATTTACTTTTTAGGTAAAATATCTTAGATGTGCGCCTCTCATTAAGTAACTAATTTAGTTTATATATAGACAATCAGACCGTCCATGATGTAAACCCCATTATTAAGCCAATATAGAAATTACCCCGTTAGGTACTTAAATATCTGAGCTTGCAACATGAAACAAAACTTACCAACATACCTTTTTCGCCTGGATATGTTCATCTATCATTTTCAGAAACCCATTTATTTTCTAATTTGGTTTTATTTATTTTCTGGATTTTTAGCATCCTGAAAACACAGAAAAAAATGCCCTTTTTGGATAGTATATAGTTCATTGCCATTTAATGCCAACCGACTCTCATTCAAAATTGTGTGATAAGTCTGGCGCCGTTTGGTTACGTTCACAAAAATCGTATTTCGGTTTTTTAAAGCAAAAGAATAGTTTTGACATGAAAACACCACTTGCATGGTTTTCGATATTATCAATTATTTTTAAAAAT